ACTGGTGGATTCATGTTTCTACATCACACTATAGGATTGATTGGTGTAATCCATTACAGTTCCAGAAAAAAAGATGTAATCCGATTCCAGTTCCATTTAGTAAAAATTGGCATTATTTAGCAGGATTACAATTTTAAAATACTTCTTCTTTAAAAAAACGCTGAGTGGAGGACACATTTTTGATGCTAAAAATCTTTCCATTTTCCATTTTTTCTTTTCAAAGGTTACATTGTTCTGTTGTCTTATAGAATACAATTGCATCAGTACGGTCTTTATTTGCTTATTGGTGTTGGTGTTGAGGTAATCCAACAGTAGCAAAGTAATAAAGTTACTTTACTTTAATATTATGATACTTGGTTTAGGTAACTGACAACATTTTCTGACATGTAATTAGTAACTGTATTGAATTACATTTTTAAAGTAACCCTCCCAATCCCGGTCTTGACTACAGCTCCAGATGGGAAGTTGTACGACGCCTATGTGAGCTTCCTCCATCCCAGCATCCTGAGTTCAGCTGAGACGGCGAGCTTCGCCCTGCAAATCCTGCCTGAGGAGCTGGAGAAACAACATGGCTACTCCCTGTTCATCAGAGGACGGGACGACTGTCCTGGAGAAGGTCAGACACATTATCCTTGGAGTCTAATGAGCCTGTTGAATACATTTCTCACCTCATAAAACATTTGCAAAGCTAATTTCATCAAAAAACCTGTTTGTCTTGTTTATCGCATTGGCTGCCATACATTACACATTTGCATTACAGATCTCTGCAGTTGTGCATTGTGTCAAGTGGGTAGTCGTGTTCAACTAGTGGTATCACCTTTCTGGTGATCTCCACTGGTAGTCTGACCCAGTGGTTCCCAACCTTTTTCCTAAAAGGACCTTTTTCTACTAATTAGTAAACTGACAACCCCAGACTAAGGGACATATTTATTATTTTTTTATTTATTTTTCTATTAAGCACTGATAGTACAGGATATGTACATAGATACAACATTCACAAAATAACTTTGGACCAATGCTCACATCATTATTTTGTATGAATTGTTGCCCCTCCCAGAACATGTAGGACACCCATCCAGAAAGTAGAAAGGATAATAATAGTAACAATGATAATAATAATAATAATAATAATAATAATAATAATAATAATAATAATAATAATTAAACAAAAAAAACACACACACAAACATAGGCTCACCATTGCTGAAGTTGTGTACTACACACTATAGTGGATGAATATCACAACTGTAAATGCTAGAGGGCTGCTAAGTGGGCACACTCTTAAGTTTACCCAAGTTTTTTCAGCACTGGAAAAGAACTAAGTGACATATTTTATGGATATATTACATATTATATTCAGAACTGTACAATGAACCCAAACAGTGAACTGTTTGTGTAAAATGAATGATTTCAATGAATGTGGAGCAGATTATTTCCTGTTTAGGAAATGTTTTATACAATTCTGTCTGTATTAAGTATTCATCATTTCATCATTTTTAGCAAACTTACTAAGCTTCTTTTTTGACAAATTCAGAGTTTTCTTGTACCTGGCGCTTGGCCATTGTTCTACTAGACAATTCTTCACAAAAGTGAAGCAAATGCTCAGATATAGGCCCACTGTGTGTATTTTTTAAGTTTTCTGGCACTCCTTAAAATCAAGAAGGCCTCTTGACTCCCTGAAGCTTTGGCGACCCCCAGGTTGGGAACCACTGGTCTAACCACTGGTTTTATTAACTTTTAATTAACTTCAAATATTGTGATTGTAATTGAGATAATCCATCACAGTGAAGAATTCCTCACTTGCTCTCTGTTGTATTTTTTAACGTGTTGCAATTACTGAATTCCTTAATAATGCATTTAAGTAAAATATTGCAATATTTAGCATAAGCCCACTCCTGGAAAATTTAATTTAAAATAAGAAAATATGCAAATTGAGAAAATAATTGTGTAAACAACATTATTTCTTGAATTCAAACGTTTTCAAAACGTGAGTGTTTGAATTCACCAGCAGGCAGAGCTTTGGTCACTGGTTGCCAATACATGAATAAATTCAGATTGCTAGACTTGTCTGGCTGAAAACAGTTTCCCTCTTGCTCAAAAGATTCCACAGAAAGGTGCCATTTACACCTGTGTGAAATTAACACACTAATCTGCCTGGAAATAAATGGTGTGAAATTACTGGAAATGTTTAAAAACGAGTTGTTTTCAGTTTGCAGAGATAGGCTTTTACCCTACAATGACTTGTTTCCTGTGTTTCATCTCTTGCAGCGGTGCATGATGTCATTGCTACAAGAGTGCACCAGTGCCGCAGATTGATAATCATCGTCTCACCTCAGGCAGTATCCTCTACTAATGGAAAAACTGAGGAAGAACCCTTAAATGACAACCAAAACCAGCTGTGTTATGAGCAGAAAATAGGCCTGCACGACGCTTTGACCAAGAACGACCCCAGAGTAATTCTAGTGGAAATTGGTGAGGACAGACTCTGGTCTGTTTCATTAGAGCAGAAATCAGATTCTTTGTGTGGCAGCTGGGTGGACATTAAGTCACCAGAAGTTTCAAAGTGATGTCATGAGAATGCATTTTAATACTGCAGAAGCCCTCCTCTGCTTCCAAAGTGAACACATTACATTGTTCTCTATGCTGGATAAATTTGAGAATTAAAGTCCCTTGGGGCTAAAAAGTTGCTTGACCTGGCAAACCAACCTAATGTACTGGCCTTAATAATAAAAAAATATTCTGAGTGTGAGAACAATGACTACTGTTGAGTAATATATGCTCTGTGACTGGATTTAGATTCATAAGAAAAGTTCCATTCTTCTGGAAAAAGACTTTTGGTGGACAGTTAGATGAGAAGATACTGTTCTCACATTTGTCCGTTAGATTATAGCTTTTCTTAGCTCAAGTACAGGTCCAAAGGTAATGTTTACTGAATACATTCTATTCTATCCTACCAGATGGTCCGGTGGATTACAGTTGCCTGCCAGAGTCTCTGCGGTACATCAAGAGGAAACAAGGATCTCTGAAGTGGAAGAAACCCGCCCTTGGAACCCACAAACTCACAAAATTGTGCTCAAACAGAAACTTTTGGAAGAACCTGAGGTACCACATGCCCTCAGTGCCTGCAGGGAGAATCCAGACTATTGTCTAAACCAACTGGAAAACTTTTATTTAGTTTGACCGATTGGATCGAACATAGATGTTTTGTTTGTTACATCAGGACCTGCAGGCTTTTTCACATGTGAATTTCACATTTATGAAAGTGGAAACATGGTTCAGAGAAAGAGAGAAAACAAGTTTTCAGTAGTTAGATAATGATCAAAGCAAAATGTGAAGAGCACACTAATGGTGCGGAAGAACACTGATGAAGATCAGCACACTTAGCTGCCTGTAACTCCACCAGAAATCATTATACATTCAGAGTTTTAGTCAAGCCTGCAATAACCAATTTGACCTAATTTTTGTATATTGACAAGATTTCTGTTGATTGGTCTACAGAGTGTTAAACATTTCCTTACCTGACTGATATAAAGCTGTATTTATATTACATTTTTGTTGTACTATGCTACACACATGAGCATTATTGCTGATATGTGTGTGACCTTATGTTCTTATGTTTCTCTAAAGTCTTTGTGGGTGAAATGTGTTCCTTATGTGAGAAATGATCACTGGGGTGAGACAAGGATATCTATTTGTCATTACTGTTAATGATTGCCAGTCATAGTACAGCACATTAGGGAATTACTTGCTGTAGTAATTGGTACCACAGTCACAGTAATCCTGGTTGCTGGAGAAGGAGGTAGTAAGTGGATTTTACGTGTCATGCTTGACACGTCTCAAATCTTGTTATTTGCACTTTGTTGACTCACAAATCCAACTTTTCGGAATCCAGCCTCTGTACACTCATATGAGCCAAGAGGTGTCTGGGAACCTACCAAGTTTGCTCACTGATGGGAAATGCCTTCTAAAGGCTGACATAACATGACATAGTGCAGTGTCACTTCCCCAATCTCTGACATAGTATTGCTTTCCACCTGCTTTGGGACTGCCCAGCTGTTAAAACATCCTGGACGGAAACAACAGCCCAGTAGGCATCCTCGTGTCAGAGGATGGGAAAGTGGGATGTTTATCCACTAAAAGATTCATTCTTTTAAACTGGAAGGAGCATTAACCTCCCCGCTTCTCTGAGGACTCGAGGCTGGAGGAGTATCTTCACCTGCTGAACATATGGTGGGCAGCCTGCCCCCATCTGTTTGTTGTTTTATTGATGCGTCTTGTGATTTGCTTGGTATTATGTTTGAATGTTGAATGTTTTGTCTAATAATAAAATTGAACAAGAAACTCTAAGGCAGAAATATATTTAACTGCATGCATCATAAACTCATTCGTTATTTGGCTGCAGTGGGTTCTTTCTATTTTGTCATGTGCGTCAGTGAATGGGTGTGCACATCGCAGCCGCTGATTATTCAGTGGTTTGTTGTCTTTTCTTCCTCTGGTCTGTTTTACTTCAGTTCCAGTGAATGTCGTCATGAGCTTCCAAGTCACTGAATGCTAGCATACAGTCACTTCTCCTAACTGCTCCTGTGGTCACAGTTTTGACCCATTTAGGTGGTAGGGGTTACGGTCTTGGTGCTAGAAGCATAATCATGAGAGGTACACCTCAGCTAAGATTTCTATGAAATGAACTCTCTGAGCCAGGAGTTGTTGCATGTTGTGTGCAGATTATATAAACAGGGTACAACAATGTGGTCAAGGTCCAGTGTGTAACATTTAGGAGGCTCAAATGGAATACAATATGCATAACTATGTTTTCATCAGTGTAATCATCCGAATGTAAGAATTGTTATGTTTTTGTTACCATCGTTTATATCAGTAGATTCCTTCCTTGTCCACCATATTGAACTGCCATGTCTCCATACAGGCCCGGTCCTAACCAATTTGGCGCCCTAGGCAAGATTTTAGGTGGCGCCCCCTTGCATCGCAATAAATTCCACTGCCAGTTATCAAAGTCAAAGTCAGCTTTATTGTTCATTTCTTCACATGCACCAGACACACAAAGTAATCGAGAGGACGTATCTCAGTCTCCCACGGTGAAACAGATTGTGGTGGCAATTTGTTGAATAAAGTATGCAAAGTATGATCTTGTCTTTCTGTAAGGTTTTATTCAAGTCATCCATGAATGGTCTCAACGCAACCGTCACACACTCTCGTATGTAAAAGTCCAAAGAGCCTCAATTGGCAGAAGCAGTAGGGTTTTATCCCTGTTGGAGGACACAGTTACACATTCCTGAGTTGTGGGACAGTAAACAGACAGACAGTGTGGTGAGATGATCATGTCCTTGGTTTCTTAGTGAAGTCTCAACATCCTGCTGTTTACTTGGACATAGAGTGTAGTTAGAAACAGGGCTAAAGGTTATATGCATATAATATCCTCTTCAACTGTTGCGTATGGTTTTACAATGACCAGGTCAAAGGATTGTATAGGTTCTTATAAATTGCCATTACAAGATAAAGTGCACAGGCACAAACAGACAAGACATTTTCTAATACTAAAAGTAAACATTCAATGGGGGGGATCAGCTTCTTGACAGCCTGGAGGATGTGACTGGGGGGAGAGAGGGGAGAGAATTTAGCTTCCTGACAACTTGGTGGATGAAGCTTTCTGTGAGTCTGGTGGAGTGGGCACGGAGGGAGGAGGAGGGTGAACAGTCTGTGTGTGGGGTGACTGGCGTCGCTCACAATCGAGATACATACATATACTCACACAAGAAACTGAATAGCTTTGTCTTTGACATTTCATTTTACTTTTAGAGGAACAAGTTGCTCAATCAAAACAGTTAACAAGAAAATAATAAATTAGAAATAAATAATACAAGAAATATAAATATCCCACACAAAGTATAACATTTAACTACCTACAAAATAAAAACTGTAAACAAGTGATAAAATCAATTAAACTACACCACCACTAGTCATCCTCACATCACCTGCTACAGTTGTACTCTCCAAGTCTTTCTTGCAGAAAAGTCATCTATAACCTCATCATATGACAACTGATTTGAGATCACATGATTGATGCTTATGATGGAAAGTCCACTGAGTTGTTGCATCATAGCAGATCTCAGGTAAGGTTTAATGAGTTTGAGCTCGGAGAAGCTTCTTTCAGCAGCAGCCACTGTAACAGGAAGAGATGGGTGTTACAGTCTAATAATAAAAGAAATGATTCCAAGAATAAAATTAAATAATAAAAATGAAAAACCTAAGAGAGGCATTACTTTCACTGTACTGTACATGAATGATATACAGTGCGATTTCTAATGATATGCAAATTAAATTAGATCTTATTGTCATTACAGTGAATTGTTGATCAGAAGCAGTAAACTGCAGTATAATATAACATATGGGAATGTATTAATATTGATGATGTGCACTTTAACATGGACGTAAAGTGTAACACTATAAACACACTTTAGACAATCCTGAACTGTAACACAACAAACAACAAGGCTTACAGCTCTAATATATAAAGGTGTGTGACTGTTACAAGCAGAGCAAACGTTAGCTAACCAATAATAAATACAAATACAAATGTAAACAGCTGCTGAATAGATCTAACGTTAATGTTTACAAATGTCCCTGAGAAACAGAAGGTGGGAGAATTATTTTTTTCCCTAACAGCTGTTCGGCCCCTCTATAACATGAACTGAGGTTAAAACGAGCTAACGCTATTTATTGATTAGCAAACCGTGTTAGGTTAAAGGTTACTATCGTTCTGTAACAGATAAATCACTTCATCACATTATCTTCACTCTACCCCTGACTTTGTCGCGTTTTTCCTCCTCCTCTTTTCTTTTTGTCCTTCCCTGGGCACCGTGCAGTTTTGGTCGTTAACATTAACATTGTTAATGGTTTCTGTGGTGACGTCAGAAAACTCAACCGTCTCTCAGAGAGCAGGAAGAGTCTAATCAGTCAGAGGAGGAGGGGGGGGCGGGGGACTTAATCAAGTCTTATTATTATTTAATAGGCTTTGCTATGCAGTTAAATTAATGTGGGCTTATTTCATACTAAGAAATAATAGCACCAACTTGTTTTAGTATAAAAATATTGAAAGTTGCACCTTTTTGTTTTTCTTTCTTCCCCCACTGTGGCGCCCCCTCTATGGACTGCGCCCTTAGCGTTTGCCTATACTGCCTGTGTCAGTGAGTAACATTTCCCTGCAAGTCAGCACTCTCACACATTTCCAACTCAACTTTAACCTATTATTCAAATGAATATGGTGGAAAAATGTCTCTGAAACAACTGACACAACTACAAGCACTTTTATTGTAGTGCAACACTGTGAATGCCTTTTAAGAGAGACTGTCTGAGATGATCTCCTCTTACCTATCTCTATGATGGCTTTTCACTCCTTCAAGTGAGCTATTGACACCTTTGCCTGTATGAACTACAATCTACATTACAAGTTTATATTTGGCTCTATTATAACTACAGGAGGCTGCACACTTCCAGCTTCATTAAGCACAAAAGGTCTGGCTCATTTCTTTTTTTGTGCAACCCCACCTTCATCCCTTTCCAGCACACACACACACACACACACACACACACACACACACACACACACACACACACAAAATGAACGTCTTATAATAACACCATATAAAGTAAACTTGTTTATTTGTAATACGTACGAGTGCTGATTCACAGTATTATTTGCAATATTTGGTATGTGTTTATACACACACAACAAAAACCTGTAAAACAACTAAGCCTTGACGCACATCATTGTGGGCTGATGCGTGTCCAATCAAGTTTACAAGTGCTGGCATGCAATGTACCTGTCCATGGATCCTGCTTTATTAAAATACCAACATGTACCCTTCATACCCTTGATTGATGTTGTAAGATCTGGCTCGTAGTCGCCAGCATTCCAGTTCATCCCAAAGATACTGGATGGGGTGGTTAAGTTCTTCTACATCAAACTGAGGAAACCATTTCTTTATGGATCTGGCTTTGTGTATAGGGGCATTGTCATGTAAAACAGGAAAGGACCTTCAACAAATTGTTGCCACAAAGTTGGAAACACACTTGTCTGAAACATATTGTACTGTATGCTATAGCATTATAGTCTAACTACGAGGTCTAGCCATCGGCATCCTTCAGACCAGAGCACTGAAAATGTGGAACATGTGGGGATGGTACTGCAGCAGTACCAAAGCCAAGATACATTCCTCACAGCTTACAACAGAGCCACAGAAAGAAGAGAAACTATAAGTGCTCAATTGATAGATCATAAATAAATTCTTTACTTCCCTTTCCAGGAAATCTGTTGCCACAATCTATACATATCCTCACATAAATACATACACAACATATTATTTGCATATGACGGCTACTGTGGTGTTTTGTTGAGCAATGCTTTGGCAGAAGGGACAAAACCCCTGCCATAGTGTGCCTGTTTCCAGGCCAGGGATCTGTACCTGTGACCTGATGGAAGAAGTGTGAAGTATGGGTTGAGGGGATGCCTGGGGTCGTGTGCCATGATGTGTGCTCTGCATGTAATTGGGATAGTATAGGAGTAAAGGAGGGACAGTAATGTTGCTCTGTCAGTCCACAACGATGGATTTCCCAGAAATGTCCCTAGAATCCTAATGACTTCAGTGATCCTCTGACTTTACCTCCACCTCCATCATCAGAGGTTATTTACAAATTCTAACTAGATTTATTCTTTAATGCAATCTCATTGATTGACATGGGAATGAATATTGAATGATTCTTCAAACCCCTTGTTTATGTAAAGTGACAACTTCCAATACCAACATTTTCAATTTTTATTATGTATGCGCATGGCAGCTACAGGACGGTAAAGGTTAGGAATAGTCTGTAGTTATGGAAAAATAAGTTATTGTTAGAGTTACAGTAGGCAACAAAAACACTTGGTTGAGGTTAGGAAAGGGTTGCAGGTAAAATTAAAGGTCATTTAGAAAGATATTTTGGCAGAAATGGAATATGATATTCATTCAGGTATGTTTTAGATCATAATTTTTATCTACAGCAAGAGTGTGTCCTCACCTACGGAGTCCGCCATGTTGAACGGTAATTGAACGGACAAACCAACCACTAGCTTTCACATTTTTCCTCACCATAGTTTCTCCTTCAGGCTTGAAGCAAAGGAGTTTCAGTTGGTTGCAATGTCAACACTAGATGCCACTTAATCCTACACACTGGTCCTTTAACTTAACATGCCCCTGAGTTATTCTCTAGACTGTATAACATTATCCACAACATGGGAAAGCCCTCACTTGACCACTTAAAAGCTTCGGGCAGAGATATGTGATTGGACCTGCCGCTCTGCTATTAAATGGATACACTCATCCTATATTTGTAGTCAAAGTATTTCAATGCTTACACCTCTGTAGAAGTAGACTTGCCAAGCTTTATCCAGGCGTTGATCCAACTTGTGTGAGATGCTATCAGGCTGTTTTGGCCATGCCCAGCACTGGGGTCATTTTGGTCCTCAACTTTTAGAATATTCTTTCATGTGTGGAAAAATATCACTCCAGACCCATTTCGGTAAAATGTGTAATTTGGTTATGTAATCGACATTTGGCAATAGGGGAGAGTGGGGTAAGTTGAGCCAAAGGGTAAGTTGAGCCACCCCTTGTTGCTAGAAAATGGTAAAAAACATTGATCATGTGACCAAATATTTAGGAGGAAGGCATCATTTCATGGAGTCTGTGAATGTAAGAACCACATGGGTAAAGTGGTTAGATAACAACATCCTGAAATATATGCAGATATATCATAATAATGATGAGTAATTAATAATTTAGTCATTTGACTTCTTCCAATGTGAATGTGTGCACAGGTGACTGTGGAAACTTTTGCTCTACTGTATTAAAGAGGAGTATTTTTCCCTTGGTCGATGGCTATTAGGCAATACAACACTCCAACAACACTGGTGTATAGTCTGTTTATTTTGGGAAGATTATGATGACAGACATCCTTCTGTTTTGTTATCCAGATTGTTAATGTTTGTTCTGGCTTTTTTTTTCCCAGTAGAGAGAAATGTCTTCCAAGTTCCCAAGTCATGAATTTATGTGTCATGTGGTCTGTCTAGTGGTCTACACTCTACAAAGCTGCTATCAAGTAAAACAGTCAACCAATGGGCCAACCGTATGAGTAAGAAACGCATATATCGTTTATACAGCCTAGAGTCTTTAGGTTCTCTCCTTCTAATCTGAATATTTTTTAATGTCTTACTGTTTGCCATGTTTGATGTCTGTTAAGTATGCTCAGTTAGAGTGATGGACAAAGTTATTTAGCTCACAGTTTGTGTATTTGTTCATTTATTTGACCCCCATTAGCTGTTACCAGCACATCTTCATCAAGGCAGACAACAAGCAGGAGGGATTACCTCCACGGAGTTACTTGGGATACGGTTTCCTAGGCCCTGGCCAAGTGAATCAAGAACATTTGCTGTACTGTTAAAGTTCCCTTTAGCCTTTCCACTGTGAAATGTATGGAAGTGATGAAATATGAAGTGTTTGAAGTGCAAACAAACCATGCTTGTATGAAGTGTGCGTTAATATAAATCATACTTAATAAGCAGGTGTAGCCTAGGTGGAAAAAACCACACAATTAGATGAGACCAATAAAAGAATTAAGAGAGTATTTGGTTTTTATTTTTATTTGTTTACATTGGCAAAGTTTTAAATGTCCTATTCTATATGAATGCATCACTCAGTTCACATAACCCTAGCCCTCAACAGCCAATCAGGGGCTACGCAGGCCACGTTCAGCCTGTCAGCTCGAAGGTGAAGTGCAGGCGCGTTGTTTTTTTCTAGCTCTCTCGGATCTCAGCCGCAAGAACGAGGGCAGCTACCTGCTAAAAGGGCGGAAAAAGGAGAAAACCCCGGAGTTAAACTGTGATAGGAGAAAGATAAGACCAGTGCACTTACCTACTGGGAGTCCGGAGCCGAGTGACTGAACGAAAGAGACGAATTACATCGGCTAACCACTTAGGTTCCATCTTGTGAGCCGCTACAATCCCCGACATCGACGTGCTCGGCTTTGAAACACAGAGCAACGGTGAGAAACGGGTCCCTCTGCTCTGGGGTTCTTTTTCTGTTGTTTCTCCGTGTGCTAACAAAAGCAGTGGCGGTACTAAAGTCTATGGGAGTGAACTGAGGTGAATAATGACGCAACGTTTTGAACATGTATATTGTGACTATTATTTTATGCTGATGTATATAAAAGGGAAGTTGTTTTATTTTGCTATCGCCAATTTCAAATAAGAAGTAATTTGATAATTCATATGATGAGAGTGAAATTACATTTAATTTAGTAAATTTAAGCTATCGAATGAATTTATTTCATTTCAATTGTGAGTTTAAAGTAACTAGGAGGGTCATTTTTGGTGCAGTTTCTCGCACTAGTAGGCCTATAGTGTTTGAGGAGTAATTAAGTACACTTCTTTGCTACCTCTGAAAGCAAAAAATATTATTTGCATGTTATGTTATCCTGGTTTTGATATGGCTATGATATATTTTGAATGGGAATGGTTACTTATGTTCATATGAACAGTAACACATGTGAGTTCTTGAATGTTTAGTCCTCCTATTTGAACTTTGATATCTTTGAATGTTTAATGTTGTACAACTGAAACTGAAGATTTGAGATTTGATAAGATTGAAGATATATGTATGAGGTTTGATGCAATATGTAGCATTTTGCCATTTAAACCTTTAACGATGCATCTGAGAATGAGAGTATAATAGATATGACCTTGTTTATGGGTCAGGTTTTTGAGAGGACGGGAAGGTTTGAGGACCAGGACGTTATCCTGATTGTGTCAGATGGCGAGCCAAAACCTTTGAAGAAAAGGCAAGGAGATACACACGTACACACTCAGACACATTCACATTACAT